CAGTGTGAATTGTTTGCCAACTCCACCACATAGGAGCTTCTGCAGGGCGATAGGGTTATCGGAGGGTAATGGATGAGTTATGAGCGTAGATCCAATCATTGACACGTTTGATTGAATAGTGATCACTGAATCGATTATGAAAATTTTTAATTCGTTGTTTTTATAGATCTTATTGTTCTTTAACTGATCTGGGAGAGTTGTCCCGTCTTCATTGAGAGGAAAGATATATTTATATGAAATGCCTCCAGTCAGATCAAAGTTGACTAGGTACCTGATCCATTATTATTCATTTACAGAAATGATGAATAGTAAAGATCATGACTTATTTAGTATTCATGTTTATTTTATAGAATGAATCGAATAGTGATAGTTTTATATAAAAAGAAGAAGAATATATTTTATTTAATAAAGATTTAAATTATTATCTTTTATCAATTTTAATATACTTCTTTTAGTTGTGATTATTCAATGTCCGTTATGATCAGACTCTGTTCTACAACAGAAGGAACCAAGGTACAGACCATAAGGTGAGAACGAGAGGTATCGCCAAGACCACAGGAGCAGGGAGCAGGCTTGCCTGGGATCCAACCCATGCGCCATCTGACAAGACGAGACCGGTCAGCACGGGAGGCAGGCAAGTACAGGATGGGATCCACCCTAAGAACAGGGCGACAAGCGCGAATCAGAACCTGGGGGGTGGACTGTAAGAAGCTATGGAACTGGTCTTGACGATACCTTCGAAGCCAAGAGGCAAGACGAGAAGATGAGGATACATCCGAAGGGCAGTCGAGGACAATACGCCGATTACGGAGCCGAGACAGAAGTGATACTTGGACAGACTGCGTCAGCAAAGACAAGAGGCAATCATCTGCAAGACCTTCAACACGACGACAGAACTTGAGCACCAACGTGTCAGCACGGAAAGACATGGACGGCAGATTGGTAATGTGCCTAAGCACTACGGTTGATGCAGTACGATGGCCACCGACAAGCATACGAAGACACCGGTCTTGAGCACGGTTAAGCTCGTCATAGTCCTTTCTTGTAAGCTGAGCAATGGCAAGACCATACTCAAGCTTAGGACGTATGAACGAAGCGAACAGACGAGAAGAGAGCAACAGAGGGAAGCCTTGGCGATTGAGACCCATTGAGTGCAGTTGAGCCATGGCAGCAATAGTACCGGATGAGCGATGCTTAATCAAAGCAGAAGTGGAGATACCCTGACCATTGAAGGGCACACCAAGATAAGTAAACTCATCAGCTGTAGGCAGGTCTTGTCCATAAAGAGACAGCTGAACAAAGCGACTAGAGGTAGCAGCAGGTGCATTGAGAACGGCACACTTTGGTGGACTCCACTTGTAACCAAGAGTCAGAGAATGGGTCTGTGCTAGGTCCAGCATATGCCGAACTTCGCGAGCAGACCCAACCAGCGCCACATCATCCGCATACAACAGGCTGTTGATGGGCGTGGGCGACGGAGACGAGGAAGACAAAGCAGCAGTACCAACCAAAGGACCAAAGGGAAGACCATCGGGAACCAGAGCACCAGAACCAGGAGGACCAGAAGGAGACACCGAGAACACCGAGGTGGTTGTTGCAGAAGCAGCAGAACGAAGCAAAGCCGGCAATGTGTTGACATAGATCGAGTACAGGTGAGGACTCAAGACAGAGCCCTGAAGGACACCTGTACTCGGCACAAACGGATCAGAGACATTGTTCTGCAACAACACAGACACCGAGACATCATCAAACATGTTGGCCAACAAAGACACCAAGGACAGAGGAGCAGAAGAGGCGAGCATCGATTGCCATATGATACGACGATCGACTGTATCATAGGCTGACTTGATGTCCAGGAAAGCGACCACAGGATAATGATTGTGTCGGCGTCGGTAAGAGTGCATCAGATCATGGAGACAGAGGGCTTGATCCAATGCACTACGCTGGTGACGGAAACCACCTTGAGCTACATCGAGCGGAGGAGAGACATCTTCAACAGAGGGAAAGAGGCACATCTCAAAGAGCTTGCGGACGATGGAGGTCAAGGAGATTGGACGATAGTTCCCTGGCGAGGTAGGATCACCTTTTTTGTGGATGGGGACTACCTGTGCTTGACGCCAGAGAGAAGGGGTATACGACCACTGGTAGCAGATACTGAAAAGCAAGGAGAGCAGTGGGGCTAGAACAGACTTGATCGGGAGGAGCATCTCCGTACGCAAGTGGTCAGGACCAGGAGCTTTACGCAGAGGGAGACGTCGCATCAGTGAACCCACACTGTCAGCAGTGAACGAAGGCATACCAGGGTCTTGACTATCGAGGTCAAAAGGCACCATACCAGAGACAGAGGGCAGAGGGTCAGGGCGCCTTGACGGAAGACCGTCACCAGAGTAGACCGAGGCAAGGTGTTGGCGCATCGCGCTCGCACCTGCAGCAGGGCCGTCAGGATGGGTAAACCCAACCTGTTGACGTCGTCGGTTCCGAATCACCTTCACCTTCGACATCGCACGAGCAAGCTCGCCACGGGCCAGAGAGTCACAGAAATCACGCCAAGAGAGTCGTTTGGCAGACTTGAGAGCAGCGCGAAACCGGACTTGAGCGGCCTGATGTCGATCCCACCACAAGGCCTTGTCGATGCCAATGGCTCGACGCCACCTACGGTAGTGATGTTCACGAACATCGGCGAGTTCTTGCAAGTGCGCATTCCAGAATGGCTTCCATTGGGAAGGTCGAGAAGAGCGAGAGCCAACCGACTTGTCGAGTGCACTATAGATCGCTTCGTTGAGGGAGTCGTTGAGAGCGTCTATAGACGGAGCAGCAGAAGGAGGACTTGACTTCAGAGCTTTGAACTGATCAACCAATGGAGCGGCCAAGGACTGGAATGAGGCCACGTACAGACTACAGACATCGGGTTCCTTCAACCGAGAGAGGTTCCATAGCCGACGGGCGCTAGAAGAGGAGAGAACGGGCTGCGATGGATAACCATCAGGGACTGCATAGTCAAAGGACAGGGACAACAGTTTGTGGTCAGAGCCAAGAGAGAGATCACTGTAGACTTGCATCCGAGGGGACCGAAGAGCAGAGGTCGTGTTGGTCAAGAAGTAGTCGATCATACTTTGCTTGACTTGGCCACCACGATAGGACAGGAACGTAGGCACCCCAGGAGCGAGAGTCGAGTTCAGAACGGATAGACCATGTTCTTCACACCAGCGAAGCAGCACCGAACCTCGAGCATTGGCCACGGAATCACCCGTGATTGCACCAAGACGCGCGTTCAGATCACCACAGATGATCGTATCGTCTGTCAAGGGCAACGAAACCAACACAGAAGAGACCTCGTCGTTGGACAAGGAAGGGGGCAAATACAGGCAGATGAGACGCAAGGAGCGACCCAACCGCAGACCCAGAGCATACTTGGTATGCACCGGGAACTGTACCACAGCCATCGGACAGGAAGGAGAGACCAGAGCAGAGACACCTTGGGAGCCACGATAGCTGTTGACCACAGGAGAGCCATACAGGTTGAACTGGGTCCAAGAGGTACGGATCCTGTGGGGCGGGAGCAACCAGGTTTCAGTGATGAAGACCAAGGAAAACGACTGGCAGTGACGGAGTAGATCATCGGCTGTGGATTCTTGAAGCCCATTGGCATTCCACAAGCCGATAGTGAGCGGTATAGAAGAAGATGATGATGACAAAGGAGTGGATGGACCATGGGAGCCATGAGAACCGGAGGAAACCAAAGGAGAGGAAGGGACTGGGACCATACCAGTAGCAGAGACCGAGGGTATACTATAATGACAAGTATTACTACTCATCATTATAAGGATCCATAACTGGAGCGAGAGGCAGGACGGTGATGATCATAGTCATCAAGAGCCATGTCTTCAGTCATATCATCGTAGTGGCGAGCGGTCTTGGGTCGATCTTGCTTGTTGGACAGCACTTCAGACACTGTCTCATCAGAGACCAAGGCCTGTGCTAACAGGTAGCGGGAGACAGAGAGAGCAACGGGGTAACGCAAGCGTTCCAAGGCCTTACGAGAGCGGTCATCATTGATGAGAGAGATAGCATGACTACGCTCTTCAGCAGAAACAGAGTCGAACTTGGGATCGGCTAGGTTGTCAGGATCGAGTGGATCAAAGGTATCCAAGGTAGGGATCTTGGCCTTTTCGAGCAGAGACAGAAGGGCAGGCTTGTACTGCAGATGTACCAGGAGACCGACAACAGAATGAGCTGGATAGCACACATCTAAGATGCGCCAGCTATCCACACCAAGGCGAGAGAGACGACGACGAGCTTCAGTGTAGGTCATCCTACGAGAGCGAGGTATGTAAACATACTCGAAGCCTTGTTCACCAGACACAGGCTGGAATCCACGAGCAGCGGCAGCACGACGACGGAGTTTGTTCTTGGCAGAACGAGAAGCAACGGTAGCCCAAGTAGAGGCAGCAGTACCCAAAGGGGGCGAAGAAACGGACTCTTTAGCACCATTTGAACGGGCAGCAGAAGAAACAGCGGTATTTGAATTGGGGGTGCTTGTAGGGACCCCGGCAGATCGTGCGGCCAGTTCGGCACGCAAGGAAGCAATTTCATTGGCCTGAGCCTGGTTTGTTTCGGCTAGGCGAGCATTCTCACCACGTAAAGTTTCAAGCTCTAGCTTAAGCTGTTCTAGAGCAGAGAGACGAGCTGTGACCGCTTCAAGGGCGTGACTGAGATTCTGGACAGTGACTTCCAAGTCCGGTGAGCTAGGTCCGGCGGCGGCATTCAGGATTTTTGATCCTCTAGTATTTCTTGTTGATGACATTTGGATGCAAACTTTGACCAAAGATTAAGCAACAGATAATGGAGATATGACAATAAGAGTTGAACCAAATAAAAGTTTAGATAAAAAGGAGTCGATTGATGCAAAAATTGTTGATGGATGGCTTGATTTGACAGAGATATCGGCTTTCCAAAAAAGAACCAAATTTACCTTTTTAACCAAAAGCGAAAGAAAAGTGGGGGAAATGGTGTAGTGGCTATCACATCCGCTTTGCATGCGGAAGGCCCCGGGTTCAAACCCCGGTTTCTCCAAATAATGATCACTATCGTTCTTTCTTACCGAAGGAATAGTCTGTGTTTCCTTTTTTAGTCTTATTTTTACTGTTGTGACGCAATTGGTGTGACTTTTCTGAAGAAGGGACCTCAGTCCCTGAAGATAAACAAGAAAAAAAAAAAAAAAAAAAAAAAAAAAAAAAATAATAATAATCATATTGAAAGATATTGTGACAATAGAAGTGAATAAAGAGGTCACACGAAGCAAAAGTGAAAGAAGTCAAAATATGAAAAAAGTCGAAAATTGAAAAAAGTTGAAAAATGAAAAAAGTCAAAAAAAATAAGAAAAGCTAAAAAGAAAAAAAAGAAAATATTCATATATATATATCCCATCTTTTTGTAAAGAAAATGTTAGTCAGTTTAAATAAATCATATATTTCTACTCAATAATTAACAAACTTTAACAAGAAAGTCCCTGTTTACCTAAACTTTTTACTCTACTTTAACTTTTATCAAGAAACATCGTATTGATCTTACACATAAGATCTGGTGGTCACTACTTATCAAGTATCTGCTTAAATTCCATACAAAACAACAACTTACAAGGCAATCACTACCTTAAATCAAGCTCTACAAGCAAACTTTACCCAATTTAACTCACTTACTACAAGCCAACCTTTAAAATAACAATATACAGTCAAGTTTTTTTTTAGTGTAACACGCAAGAACAAAACGGCGGAATTTAAATCGTTGCAGTTTATAACGAACGCCTTACAGTTTGCAACAACCACCTTACACTATATAACAACCACCCAAAATACCAAAAACAGAACAAAAGCATAAAATCCAAAAACATATAAATAACTCCAAATAAAAATCACAAAAATACTTCACTTCTTATTAACTTCTTACTTACTTCACTTCTTATTTTACTTTTTCTTTTTATCAAATAAATATTCTTTTAAAGAGGCAAATTATCTCTTATCTTATTTAACATTAAGAACAAGAAGCCCCTTGAAGCTATTATACAGTGGCGGACAAAACTGGTGCACAGAGCTTTTTTTTTCAGCTTTTAACTACCATTACTTGCTCATGATGATTGCAATAGCTATGAAACTATATTAGAAGGAAGATATACTAGCCATTGTAATTTACGTGTATTCCTAGCATGACATTGTTAAAACTGAGCGAAGAGCATGCTTTTCATTTATAAAAATCTATATTTTCTAAAAACCGCAAAAGTGGCTAAAATCTAAGACTTTGTATAATCATCTCATCTCTTGATATTATCGAATATTCTTCTTGGCATATGCTAGTAGTATGTGTGCATATCATTTTCAATAAAAGAGCCCAGCTCTTTAACTATCCTTTTTGGTCTAGTGTCGTATCGTTATACAGTGGGTCAAAAAACTGCACCAACGCAACTCAGTTTTTCGGAAATACCAGTATAGCTCTGTCAGTTTAAAAGTAAACATTACGAAACTTGGAACAAAAAGAGTTAATACAGTTACTATTTATTGATAAAAGTTTCAAAATCAGATGCGGAGTATTGATCTAAGGAACACTCAGCAAAAAGAGGAGGTCGGTTGGTGCAGTTTTTTGACTTTTAAAATGAAAAGGTATTTGGTATCGTATGTCCGGACTGAGACAATTCCGACGGATTTAATCTAATTGTTTTTATTCCTAGTCACACTGGGGATCTTAAAATAAATTTTTTTGCAATTATTTTCTTTTTTTTTTCTTTCCTACTTTACCCAAACTCATCCTACATCGTCAGTATCCATCCATCATTAGAAATGCCCAAAAAGCTTCCATCCGATATTCAAAACAGTATCAAAGCATTATTAGAGAACGGTGTTGATCCTGCAGTCATTGGGAAACGAGTTGGAGTGCATAGAAATACCGTCAATAGGTATGCAAATAAGTGGATACACGATAGAATACGTAAAAGAGGAGGTAGACCGAGCATTGTAACAGAGTCAACACGCCGATACATCAAGAGATAAGTGCTCACAAGTTGTTTGAAGACTGCCAAGGATGTGCAAATGAAGTTGGAGGAGCTGGGGCGCCCTATGTCGTATCAATCGGCAATTAATGTCTTACATTCAGTTGAAATTTATGCTGAGATCAAAAAGAAGAAGCCATTATTGACTGAAAAGCACAAGAAGGCTCGATTAACATGGGCTAAAAAGCATCAATATTGGACAGTACATGATTGGCGACGTGTTATCTTTTCTGATGAGACGAAAATCAACATTTGGGGCTCTGATGGTTGCAAGTATTACTGGAAAAGAAAATGTGATCGTTTACAGCCTCACCATATCGACGTTACTGTGAAGCATGGAGGCGGTGGTCTCATGTTATGGGGTTGTATAACCAGCGAAGGACCTGGATACGCATGTCAGATCTATAATGGCACCATGAATTCAGAGGTATACCAAGAAATCCTTGGTACAAGTCTAAAAGACACTATGGAATGCTATGGTCTGAACTGGGAAACGTCGGTATTTCAGCACGATAATGATCCCAAACATCGATCAAAGTCCACAACACAATGGATGAAGGATAGTGGCATGATTTACATTGACGATTGGCCATCACAAAGTCCAGATCTTAATCCTATTGAACATATATGGCATCATTTGAAGTTAAAGCTAAGCATGTATGATAATAGGGCGACTAGCATCCATGACCTGTGGCAAAGAGTCGAAAATGAATGGAATTCGTTTACTAAGAAACAATGCATCAAATATATAGACAGTATGCCCGACAGAATACAAGCTGTCTTAGCAGAAAAGGGTGGATCCACTAAATATTAGAAAAGTCAAAAAACTGCACCAACCGACCTCCTCTTTTTGCTGAGTGTTCCTTAGATCAATACTCCGCATCTGATTTTGAAACTTTTATCAATAAATAGTAACTGTATTAACTCTTTTTGTTCCAAGTTTCGTAATGTTTACTTTTAAACTGACAGAGCTATACTGGTATTTCCGAAAAACTGAGTTGCGTTGGTGCAGTTTTTTGACCCACTGTATGTTTACCTTGAATAATACGACTTTCAATCAATAGTATGGGAACCTCTTTAGGCAGTAAGACTTTAAAAGCGTAAAGTAAGTATATAAAAAAATGGGAAGAAGACTGTATATCGTTTATTATTATCACATCAACACTATTTATAATAAAACTCTTTTTGACATTCCGTTATTTCTTGTTCTTCTAGAACAACTAAGTTCTCGATCTTGTATATTTTTAGGCACAATAGAATCTTCATATCTAGCTTGTCTTGCGGGAACTCCAATATCTTTCGCGTCTGTGCTAAAGGGGCGATCTGTGTAACTTGACACTATTTTCCAATACAGCCACAAAAGCACCAAACAATAAGAAAATACCACCCGGTCCGCACAGCAGCAATCCGAGCCGCAAACCACGTGATTAAATGCAGGACGAAGAGATGGATTTAGCCACATATCAATTATGACAGTTGCTAATTTGTATGTTATGCTTAGTTTCGCTATACGGTGAAGTTATAACAGAAACCAATTAATAGAAGACTGTAAAAGACTATTAATGTAAAATAACAACAAGATCAGCAATTAAACTAGTTCTTGACTTCAATTGCTTGAACGTGCAAAATAAAAATGTTCGGCAGCCAAAATTAAATTTAGCGGGAAGAAAGACTTTTTATTATTATATTACAACAATCGATACTTTGACATAACATATTAATACAAGGTAAGTGGGGAAAAAGTACAATTGTGAAGGGTATTATGGTGATTTTGATTAATAAAGTAAATGATGTACCAATTGAATATTCGTTTTCATGTTGATTCTTTTGATGTTCTTTTCTGTCTGGTGTGCTGGCACATTGGGTGAACAATGCGTCCAGAGATCGTCTTCTTGATGTATCCTGTGAGGGTAGAAAATAATGGGTAAGAAAAATAATGTCGGCCAATTGTGACTTCCTTTCATTCAATTCCCGATGCGGTGAAGCTGATTATTTTCCTTTCCCCTTATTTTCGTTTACATTTTCTTGAATAACGTCCGTTAGAATTATCCAACCACACCGAAACGCATACTATTCGAATCGTCATAAAAAGGAGCATCTTTTGAATACAAAATGTGCTTTAAAAATCAAAAAGGAATCAAAGGCGACTCCCAACCAAAAGACGTCTTCGTCAATAATATAGCGTCACTATGTCCGAGTGGTTAAGGAGTATGACTAGAAATCATATGGGCTCTGCCCGCACAGGTTCAAATCCTGTTGGTGACGATTTATTGTGTACCACTGCCTGGATTAGCTCTCGCCCAGGTGTTGTATTTTTGGAGGATACTGTCACATTGGTCTCTTTTTGGTGTTGTTGTAGCTATTGTAACACTGTAACACACGAAACACGAAAAAGGAAAATCCTATGGTTATAGCAGAGATGCTATCTCAATAGCAAACAATGCTATGCTAATAGCAAAGGAATTCAAGGACAACAAAAAAAGAAGAAAACAAAAGAAAACCCAATGTAACACAATGCAGCAAACTTTGGCAGCATTCGACTTTTCTCTCTCCAATTAGTTTAAATCCAGGAACATACAAACAAATACGTATGAATACAGATAAATCCAGAAAAATACAAAAAAATATAGAATATCCATAAAATCATCAAAAACAGCATATAATCAGAAAAACCAAAAACATATAAATAGCTTCAATATTTCTTACACTTTACCTACTTACTTTTGTTTCTACATACCTTGTTTCTACTTACTTTTTACTTACTTCATTTTACTTTTTGATTATTTCAAATAAATATCATTCAAAGTAGACCTCTTTTATTTTTCTTTTATTTTACTTAACATCAAGAACAAGAAGTCCCTTGAAGCATATACACTTCATTGTAATCCCTATTATATTATCTTTTTATTTTACTTTACTCAAAACAGTTTGATCTACTTAACAAGATCCGGTAGTCACTTATTACAAGCGAACTTATATTCAATCTATTCCTCTTTTTGGAATCAAATCCTACCTAAACCTTTGATCTTACAGT